GGGAAGCTACGCAGCCGGCCTCGGCTCTTCTTTGAAGGCGCTGCGTGGGCACGAGGGGGGCAGAGGCGGCGGGGAGGGGGCGCAGATTTTCTCCGCGCCCTGGAAATTCCCAGGCCGAAAAGGTACCAGCGCCGAGCCGCGGACATTCCCCGGGCGGGCGGCCTCCAAGACCCGGCCTGGAGCCGCGCAGCGGAGTCAGAAACGAATCTAGCGAAACCTTTTTCTTAGGGATGCCTTTGAAAACAACGCCTCGAGGAATCCACTGCCGGGCATTAGCGCTGCCTCATGAGATTCACCTTATTTCAATTTTTCTGTATGGCCTCTGGATGGGGGGTGTGTGTGGGGGGGGTAACTTTCAACACAGCCTTTTAAATACGGCAATCAAAAAGTATGGCTATCGCGTGCCTTCACTGACAGATTCAAGGACAAAGGAATGGGTGACCAGTAGAGCAGTGGTCCTGTAACTGGACGATCACGTTATTTTTCGGGGGCGGGGGGCAAGTAGAGTGGGTGAATTTAGAGAATGAACCACTGCAGGATACTGAAAGGATGTCTTCTGTGACATTTGGTTTCACTGTGGCTTCTTTTCTTTCTGGGACTTTCTACTGTAATCTCTGTACCGCTCTCCCCCCACACACCCGGCAGTTACAATCCAGCTTTATAATGAGACAGGAAATGCCTGGTCCTCAGTAGTAAGGGGCATCTAGAGCTAAATACGAGAAGGTTCTTAAAACTTTAACACAACCGAAGATCCTTTTTAAAAGAAGCCTAACTTCCTCTCATTTAACGCAGAATATTGAAAAGCAAAAGTTAATACACTTAAGTTCACACTTTTTTAAAGTTCAAATGTAAGTGCACTTTGAAGAAAAGGTTAGACTGACATTGATGAGGTGCATTTTGTGCTTCTATCTTCTGTATCCTATAAAGTTCTGCCCTCAACAGCCCTCTTTTCTTCTACCCCCTGCCCCATCCTAGGTGCCCCTAGCACTCACTTCCAAAGAGAAAAAGAGCACCTTGGAGATCTTATTTACATAGGAATATGTAAAGGCTCACCATATATGTTCTTGTCACGGACCCTGAAGCCGGGAAATGTCAGTCAATTGATTTTTAATAAAATGATGGTTGTTCAGAATGGTAGATGGAGCCCGCTGGAACACCAAAGGTCTTTTTTGTACTGCTATATAAAGGTTACTCTTAATAGGATGATGTCTTTAAAATATAATTTGCACAGACGGGCCTTATGGATTTTCCCTTTCGCAACTAGTATCAAATCAATCATTTGAGTTCTAGAATATGAAGAGACCCATTAAGTGAAATTCATGCTATCTGGTTCAAAAAAACATATTTTAACTCAATTAAATTGTATATAAACCACAGTTTTAATATTTCATTAGAAACCTAAGTGTCCAACCATTATGGCCTACTTAAATAAAAATAACATCACTAGCTGAACGTTTGGTAAGATTTTTACAATTAAGTTATTAAGACTTACAAAAATATTTGTATGTTAAAAAAAACACAGATAAAAATTACATATTCTGTGATTACAGCTATGTGGTTAAGAAAAAAAAGTAAGAAAATATACTAAAATGGTAATGGTCATTGCGATCAGATCATAGAATTATGGATNCACAGCTATGTGGTTAAGAAAAAAAGGTATATACTAAAATGGTAATGGTCATTGCGATCAGATCATAGAATTATGGATTCTATGCACAGATTTTCTTCTGGATTTTAAAAATTATGATGAAAACAGTCATGGGGATATAAAGTACAGCACAGGAAATACAGTCAATAATATTATAATAACTATATATGGTGTCAGAAGGCTACCAGACTTATCGGGGTGATCACCTCTTGAATTATATAAATGTCCAATCACTATGTTGTACACCTGAAACTAATATAATATTGTTATGTCAACTGTAATTGAAAAATAAAAAAAAATTATTAAAACTATGATTCCCTTTATAATGGAAAATATGTATTTAAAACCAACTATGTTATTTGGCTGGGATGCTAATATTCACAGCCATGTGGTACTGGCCTAAAATAAGCTTTTCAGAAGAAATTAAAATATTACATTTAAGTGTTCTGAAGATTTAGATCAGGGGAGGGGAACCTTTTTCCTGCAAANAAGATTTAGATCAGGGGTGGGGAACCTTTTTCCTGCAAAGGACCATTTGGATATTTATAACATCATTTGTGGGCGATACAAAATTATCAACNTTCTGAAGATTTAGATCAGGGGAGGGGAACCTTTTTCCTGCAAAGGACCATTTGGATATTTATAACATCATTTGTGGGCGATACAAAATTATCAACTTAAAAATTAGCTATGAAAAAATGTCCTAGATTTATTAAATTTTGAGTCCTGCCTTCAGTTGCCTTGGCAGGACCAGACCAAATGATTTCAGCCCTCGGGCTGGACGTTCCCCACCCAATTTAAATAATATTTCAAATTCTACACATATGCACTTTTTAAAAAAACTTCCACACCAGAGAGTAGAAAGACAAATTAGGAATAGGACAGAAATGACTGAAAATACTTCAAGAAACTGTGTCATCAAATCCTTAGGACCTCATGCTGCTAAATCAAAAAATAACAGAAACTAGACAATATTACGAGATCATTTGCACAAACAAGCAGCATCACTCCAAAGCCCTACAGAGGCAGTGCCCTCTCTCTCCTTGAAATTTTCCTAAGATGACAGCCTCCTCAAGCAATCCTTGAGAAAATGCTCAAAACTTCTTTCATGAAAAAGAAAACTTCTCTTTATAAAAAGCCCAACAAGTTATAGTTGAAAAGGGCTATGGACTCTCACATTCCTTAGTTCAAATCCAAACTCAAGTTCCTCATCTATAAAACAAAGTTAGTATCACCCACACTTTTCTATTATGATCAGAATTGTTACGGGTAAAGCCCCTGAAATAATAGACAAAGAACGTTATTTCCCTTTTCTATTTTCCCTCTTCCCTTATTGTTTCTCAAGGTGCAGCACACAACCACTGCGTCACACTCACTGGGCATTCCTCACAGAGGCTGACTCCACAGTTCCCAGGAGGCATGGCCCCCAATTCTGCATTTTTTATCAAGTATTCCATGTGATCCTTAGACACTCTAAAGCTTAAAGACCATTAAAAGTAAGCTATTTTAATATTTAACTACTAGGTCCTCTTTGGACTCAGAAAATAATTAAAAATCTTCTTTCTTCATAGATATATATTTTATAAACTTGAAGGTGGCCCTCAAAGCTAGGAAAGGAAGGTCTTAGACTTTCTGTTTTAAGTTTCGAAAAAATATATTTGACCCAGTCTTCTAAGAGTGCATTTTTTCATGCTTTAAGCATCTGTCTTCAGCTCTAAAGCCTCCCCAGTTTCTTCACATGTCCATTTAGGAAAACTAAAACTAGACTATAATCTATTGTGGCTCAAAAAGAAGAGTATTTACTAAATGGCGCCAAATTAACTTAAACTCATTTAAGTTTAGTCAAGTAAAATTTATTTTAAGATAGCCAGTAGAAATAGCAGCTCTTGAATTCCAAGCATGAGAGAATTTTATGTACTTTATGCCCAAATCAAGGAATACTTGTCATAGATTTCAATATCTAACTTTAATTTCAAATTAGATTTTAATTTCTAATATGGGTACCCAATTGCAAATGATATAGTAGGCAGTTAGGCATGAGCAGAGTAGGAACAATAGGTCAGGTACCGAAGGTTACCAGGAAGGAGAGCCCGGGTACCTAGCAAAGGGCAAAAGTGGAAGGACAAGTACTATAGGGTGGGGCTTCACCCCCAGAGTAACCTTTTTCTCCCCTACCATATGGCTGGTCCTGGGGTTTAGACCCCGACCTTTCATATCACTGATCATGGAGTTCGGACCCTCCCCTGACCTCTCCTTCCCTGGCATATCGTTTGTAATGTGGGTAGATCTTCTTAGAGGATGATGTGGGCGGGGTGGGGGAGTGCTGGAGAACAGCCTCATATTACTTTTCTATACAAGCCCCTGCACAACCACTCCCTTAAGTATTAAGCCCTCAAGATAATGAGGCTCTGCCCAGCATCAAATCACCTTAAGAACAAAGCCTTGGGTTTGTTGATCACAGAGACAGCTTTGGTCAAACTAGAGATAACATCTAGGCCTCAGTTGTGTTTCAGTTCCAGGCCCAGAAACGCAGCAAGGTCAGGTGGGGTGACGCAGTGGCAGACATCAGAACCAGCTTCGATGACTAATGACCAATCATTAGAGGCCACAACCCTAAACAGATACATCTGAAAAGCTGATGAATATTCTATTGAGATCCTCCCTTAAGACATCCAGATAAAAACCCTTAAGACGAAGGATCCAGCTCAGCTCTCTTTCTCTAGAGAACAGCTCATGCTTGCTGTCTCTTCGGAGCACACCCACACCTTCCCCTCTTTGCTTCCCCCAGGTGCATTTTCTTTGCCTTTCTTTCTCCTAAGCTCCAAGGGCCCTTCTTTTGCCTTTGTAACTTGTTTACTGAATCCACGAAGCCCAGCTGGCTCACTTCTTCTATGACTTACTTCTTCTACTCCTGTTACTTTCTAAATAAATTTTTGCTTATATTTGAGTTCCCTGGCTCTGAATTCTTTTCTTAGCTGAACTCAAGGACCAAGATCCGATATCTTGTGCTGTTCGCCATTAACAAAAATAACAACCAAAAAAGAAACACTTGAAATAGATGGAAATAATTTTCACAACTTTATAATAAATAGGACTCTTTACATAAAAGTCAATTCTAAAAACCCTCAAACTTCAGAACACAAAAATAAATTTCCATTTATAGATTTCACCCTTCCAGTTCCAAAAATGGTTATTTTAGAATGAGCATTCATAACGTAAAATTTAGCTGAATTAAGTAACAATCACCCAATGCAAATATTAATTGAACACAAAGATTTTATACATACTGTTTTCATAGCTCCCTTTTGCTTCCTTTCCAGATAAGAGCAAGACATTGTAAATATTCTCACTAGAAATTCTGAGCAAGGACACTGGTCATTTCAAGTAATTCAGAAAAGTGAATTATCAAGAGAAACTCTGAGCCATGGCAGTCTTCAGTGTGTTACAGGAGCCACTGATTATAAGCCTCGTTAGTTTACCCGCTGAAGATGGACTGTGCTGTTCATGCTGATGTGCTCAATTTCCTTTGCCAAATAAGCCGCAAACACTCCACTGCCAGCCAAACTCGTCCCTTCCATTTAGGTCAGAACATTTTTCAGACTTTTAAGCACAGTAATCTCCCCTCCCAGAAGCTAGCTGAAACACACTTATTTGCATCTTTGGTTACAAGGACAATGTAGTGTGTGGATGCCGTTAATGGTTCTTCCATGGCTAAATCAAGGCTGGAAAATATCCTATAGGTAGATATAATATAACCTCTGTTTTCCAAGCTCCTCACAAATCATTATACAAAAACCCGCTCTTTTTGAAATTTTTTTACATATCAATGGTAGCCATCTTTCCACAGGGCCACCCATAAACTTTCTGTAACACAGGTGACGGAAAAGGTCACTGAAAGTGATTCCTCCAGTTCCCTCCTGGGCAGGCTAAGTCTTCAAGGGGCACACAAAGGACAAGAACATGTCTAGTTGGTTCTTCACAATAACGTCGTCCGGATGTAGCTTGTGGGGTAAATAATGGGCCAGGGTCATCTCCCAGGCATCAACGAGATATACTCCAACCCCTGAGAACATCTTCCGAAGGACGGTGTCCCGCTGGAAGTTGTACCAGTCGCTGTTGAAAAGGCTCACCTCAGGCCCCAGCTCCTGGGCGTTGGCTGTCCGGATGACCACCACGGTCTTCGGGCTTCGATCCAAGAGCTGCACCACCGCCCGGCGGATGTTCCTGAGCCGCCGGATATACACTTCCAAGGGGAAGGTGCTGAAGTGGGACCACACGGCTATGGCCACCACGGTGTCCTTCCCTCCCACGATGCCGTTCAGCTCGTTGGCCACGTAGCGGAGCTCACTGCTGAAGACGGTGGTGAAGCGGATGGGCGGCCCGTGGCAGCGGTAGTGCAGCAGGATGCCGTGCTTCTGGTCCACCGCGAGGAAGGGGCCCACGTTCTTGGGGCTCCCCAAGTTAAACTCCACTAAGTCTGAAACAAGGGAAGCTCAAATTCATAAACATGTTCAAACCAAACACAAAAGTTCGATTATTCTTTACTTGGTGGCTTCATAAAACAGCTTTTAAAATAAAACGACAACAACAGAAAGGTACGGTATAAATGGACCCCTGCTCGGCGGAACGCCTGTGAAGGGAATGCCCAGCTCACTGCACTTCGGCCCCCTTTGCCTCAGTGGACCTTGATTCTAAAATAGTTACTATTTAACTCACTCCACAAACATGACATTACAAATAATAACATCAGTGATGGATTCTGTGCCTGTGCCTTTGCCTACACCTCAGAAACAAAACAGCCTGTTTACCTCTATTAGGTCAAGAAACCTTCCTGTTTGCACGAACTGTTGAATATTTAAAAATCAAGTTAGCATTTATACATTTTTGTTCTAACAGATAAACATTTCTTCCAGGGCAAGGGCGATAATTTCTGCTTTTTTAAGAACACATAATAGTAATCAAATACCTCCTTTTGCGATTGCGTAACCAAATACCTTTTTGCTATTGTGTAACTAAATACCTCTCTTTGCTATAAGCCAAAGAAAGGAGCAACTCTGTTCTTTTGACTTTCAACATCACCTTATGGATGGAAAAATCATGTTTAATATCTTGAACTTCTATCTCTGTCATAAGAATAATAAAGACAGCACCACCAGTTAGGATTCCCGTCTCTCCCCTTTATCCAAATTGTTTCAAAATCCAGCTCCTCTGAGAGAGTCTGAAGAGCTCAGGAATCACTGATTCCTTTTTACTCCTAAAAAACTGTACAACGCATCACTTAATACTCCCCACGAGGAAAGAGTGTCTGTCTCATATTCCTAAATATCCCTGTAAAAGCCTTACAGAGAACAGACGAAGTAACTTTTGGCAACCCAATTCAATTAACATTTCCTAGGTACCTGTTCAGTGCCAGCCACTACAGGGCTATAAGCCAGCAATGCTCACAGGGAGAATTCACAGTCCTCGCCCACAGTCCTCGCCTTCCAGTCAATGTAAAGAAGTAACATCGAAGTATAATTGCACTATTTTACTCTTGAGGGTTAAATAAAGGTTTCACTTCTCTCACCCTGCAGTCCCAGGCTTCTCTTCTAGACTTTTCTGCCTAATTCACTACTACTTAGCATTTAACCCCATTTAAATGGAATAAAAACTCAATCTACTGTTCTTTCTTTGATTAAGATCAAGCACTGACACAAAGCTTTATCAGGTGAAAATCTCTGCAAAGGGTATGGTGGAAAATTATCAAGACAATGTGATCATTGCTATGAAAGGAAATACCAAACTACGTCACCAGAATTAAGAATCAAGCAAGGCCTGGAAGGCCTGCCCAGTCAACATCAAACCACGCCTCGCACCATGCCATACAAATGACTTCCTTTCTCTTGATTTTTAATTTATGCTTTATCAACTAGAACTCAGCTATGCCTGTTTCAACAAAAAAACAAGCAAAACAAAGCTGGAATTAACTTTTCACTCTTTGGGGTCATATCTACTTCCTCCTTCCCTTCTAGAAATTAAATCTGAAGATGCTTTGAGGAGAAAATGTCTTGTCCGGGGTCACACAGCTCATCAGTGGTATAAACTTCAACAAGAACCCAGTGCTTCCATCAATACATCACAACGCCACCACTGATCAAGAACCATCACACATCTTCCCAGGGTTAGGATACATCTTTAGTCCGACAGAGAAATAACTGCTTTTTCACCTGATGCCTTTCTTCAGGCACCCGAGTGAGTCTGCTTATTTCAAAGCTGATTCTGTGCATGTTTGAAAGAGTTATGAGACAAAAAGCAAAGTACCAACCTGGAACAAATGCAGTTAGGTATTCAAACCATTGCCTGATTGTTGAGTCACCAAATAAATAAACCACTTTTTTTTTTAAGCATTCTGTGATGTTGTTGGGGTAATTGAACTGGCGCATCTTAAACTTTCTGGGCCTCCACTGATTTCTGTAAAAATACCCGGAAGGAAAGCTTCCTGAGCCTTGAGACAGTTCTAGGTTGTTAGTTTCTGCAAAGAACAAGGAAAGAATTGAGGTAGATATTCTGAAATTCTCTTCTAACAAAGCATACTTGAAAATATTCCAAGAAACACAATTATGCCCCAATATTTGTTAGCCTGATAGCAATATGGGTAACATTTCCTGCCATCACATCTCAAAGAAATCCCAGACTTTCCCCTTGTTACAAAAGGTTCTCCTTTACACAAAAATAGGAAGATCTGAAATGGGTGTGAGGGTATCGGTGGACAGACGGGGAAGAGGGGACTTTTTTCTTTTTTTTGAGCATTCCCTCTGATTATGCGTTTTTATCAAAGCCAAAAATAAAGGCAGGCAAAATCCAAGGAAATATGTAGATATAAGCACTGTCCAGCATGTCCCAGAATAGGAGAAGAGTTTCTCATCCAAATGCCTGTGAGGCAAGTTAACAATTTAAGTTCCTATTGTACATATGCATAGTAATAGTCCACTGTTTCTCAGCCCATTAAAAGAAAAGTTTTAACCCATGGGTCTTACGATCAAATATTAATTCAGGAAACCACCAGACAACCAGGCCAACAACATACAGTCTAAATAATTATTCCCCGCAATACAAAAGGTTCATAAAGTCTTTATCCACAATGAACAATATTAAAAATGCATCAGCAGTGAGTATTCATGGTTGTAGCCCAGCTACACATGGGAATGCAGGGTCAAGACACCTTTCAGAGAAAGAATCAACATCTTCCTGCCCTAACACCTCCCTTGGAAAATGCCACTGTGGAAACAACATGCTTTACGTGCTTCAAAACAAACAGGAACAGTTAGTATTTCTTACAAGTTTGCTTTGCACCAGACACTGTTGTAAGCAATTAAATGTATTATCTCATAAGATGCTCATGGGAGGTCCTATTATTATCCGCACCTTTCAGAAGAGTTAAGCAACATGACCTAGGGCCCAGAGCTGGTAAGGAGCAAAGCCAGGAACTGATGATGTAGGCAGGTGTGTCCAAAGCCCATGCTCTTAACCACGGTGCTACAGCACCCCTCAAAATTAGATGTTTGCAGCCCTGGCCAGGTGGCTCAGTTGATCGGAGCATTGTCCCCTACACCAAAAGGTTCTGGGTTCGATTCCCAGTCAGGGTACATACCTAGGTTGCAGGTTCTGTCCCCAGTAGGAACACATACGGGAGGCAACTGATGTTTCTCTCTCACATCAATGTTTCTCTCTCTCTCCCTTCCTCTCTCTCTCAAATCAGTAAGACATATTTTGGGATGAAGATTAAAAAAAACCAAAAAAAACAACTAGATGTTTGTAGATGTCAGTCACTTTCTTCTTGGCTTTTCCCTAAAGGTGTGCATGTATTCATTTCTAACACTTACTAAAATCCACAATCTTCGAAAACTACCAACCGTTTTATATCACTTCCTTACACACCCCAACGTTCCAACCTTGATCATAATCCAGTAATTCTATAGTCTCACCTGTTAAACCACAATTCAAAATCCAAATTCTTATATGACTCATAAATTTTAGTCTCCTATTTGTGACTATTTTCACCTAATTTGATTTCTGGATATTATTTGTATTTACTAAAAATTACTTTGGCTTTATTCCCACCCCCCCTTTTATTTTTAGAGAGAGGAAGGAAGAGAGAGAGAGTGTGTAAGAAACATGGATGTGAAAGAGAAACTGGGATCTAACTGCAACCTGAGTATGTGCCCTGACTGGGAATTGAACCAGCCACCTTTTGGTGTACAGGACAATACTCCACCCAACTAAGCAACACCAGCCAGGGCTGCATCTGTTATTTTTTTGCAGGTCAGGGCCTAAATTAAAAAGTAAAAAGGTTTTCTAAAAGTTTTATTTGGCAAATTGGATTATCAAAAAAATAAAATAAATAAATGGGAGGTAGGGTGTATTCTTCTGTTGTTGTTACCAGAATTGAGGGAATCGAACCTGCCAATGTGCTGGAGAGGTCTGTGACTCTTATGCCGCGGAAGTTAATGTATCAGAGCTGAGTTCTCATGCAGAACGATCCATATCAATACGGACAGTGGTAGAAGGGGTGGCTAGGGGAGAGTGACACCTTGGATTGGCTCCATCCGGATATCTACAATTTCCTGACCCATTTGTTGCCATAAGATTCTTCAAACTGTGGGACTCTGAATAAAAGATAAAGTATAGCAATTGCCAGACCTGGGTAGGTACTTAAATGTTTACCGAATGAATGAGAGGACAGATGAATGAACAAGGAGAATGAAGGGATGAAGGTGAATCCGGCTGCTGGCTAAAGAAGAAACACCCTTCATTCTCTTCATTCAAATATTTATTTGGCTCATTCAAAAACAATTTCTCAACATGTACCAAGTGTGGCTTAACCATGTTAACACACATTGCCCAAAGCTCATTCAATTATATCAGCAGGTCAAAGCTGCACAGGCCAAAGAGCTCCAGAGCAGAAACCTGGGCCCCCGGAAACATTTACGAGGATGGGAACTGAAAGCGATTTTGAAGTTAAAATTTTTACCAAGGTTAACTCAGTAGACTAGGCTATTCTGTATCAAATACATATTATAAATAAAAGTGTATACCACACAGGAAACTATTACCATCTCCATTCAAATGTTAATTACATTTACTACCAGAGTTAAGGCAAGAAAAGCAAATCAATTACTGAACCTGACATTAATTCTTTAAACTTGCAGCTCTAGATAACAAAACATATTTTTAAAAGTGAAATGCCTGTGCCTACATTGCCCTCTTATGGTCAGCTGGGACAAAAACATGTCCTGAACGATATGATTTTAACAAACAGTCAAAAGTTGTTTAAAAAGTCAGCGTTTCTTGGAACTCAGAATGCACTTTCACATAAGATAACTGAGATATGAAAGCCTCTTAAATCAATAATATAACTCCTAGTGTACATACATGGGGAATAAAAATTTAAAAAATTAAAATGAGTTACTACTCAATTTTATGGTTATCTTGAATATAGATGGTGAAGAAAGAAGTTTATAGATGGTTGAAAAGGCAGATATAAAGATCTTTATGCAAAATAGAAGGGATAGTTTTGATTATTCACAAGTAAGGTCTCTGCTTCTCTAAAATGTTTTTGCTTCTTTTTAAAGTCCGCGGCTTAAATTTTCCTCCAAAGGGTGTCATCCCATGTCATGCATTAGGCATAATGAGGGCCATTTCAGCCACCAATTGGAAGAAATAAGAGAGAAAAAGCAGAGAAAGAAATTTCCCTAAGTTAGCTAGAAAGAGCTGGGGAAAGACACAGTGCAAATTAAGGACGGGGGATACGTGTGTGCACACATGTACACACATTCCTTAATTTGATGGCCTAGAATTATCCATAGAAGTAAATGGTGGTGGAAAAGAACTTTAAAATTAAATTAAAAAAAAAAAAGAATTGCATTTTTAATTTTATTTAATTTTAATTTAAATAGCCACATACGGCTAACACCTACCATAACGGACAGAACAGTTCTGAAGGCTCTTGAGGAGCCAAAGAGATGGGAGTGGAGGAAGAAGACGTTTACATGAGTATAAACAGCAAAAGCCGCCCGGCTGGGCTTGGCTGAGCAGTTGAGCATCGACCTAGGATCCAGGAGATCACGGTTCAATTCCCAGTCAGGGCACATGCCTGGGTTGCGGGCTCGATCTCCAGTCGGGGGCATGCAAGGGGCAGCCGATCAATGATGACTCTCTCATCATTGATGTTTCTCTCTCTCTCTCCCCCTCTCCCTTCCTCTCTCTGAAATCAATAAAGATATATTTAAAAAATAATTTAAAAATTAAAATAAATAAATAGCAAAAGCCAAGAGTATGCACATAGGGTCTAACTGATTTATTTTAATCTAACAACAGATCCTTCCGAAGTAACCACGTCACATTAACGGAGGGAGGGTGGGGGTTTGTAACATCAGTGAAACTACAGAGCCTCAACCCACTTAGCAAGAAAAACAACAAATCATCAAGCTCATCATTCCGCTTTACCTTTTATTGTCCTGGGCATTACAGTCACCCAGTCAGGTCCACTGGAGTTGATTGGCATTTTGATATTGACACCACTTTAAGGGGAATAAAAAGAGCACAGACTTAGATTCAGGAACTTCTTTTCCAATATGTATCTTTATTTACAAATAAAAAATGGATACGATTGCACAAAGCCTCGTTAACATGAAATATTCATCAACACAATTAATAATTAATAACTAGGTCTCCCCTGAAATAAGCGGGTCATATATCTGAATAGGAATTAAACAGATTAATTTTTCACTGCTTAGCTCTTAAAGCAAACTCCCCAAATGAGAAACTCTGGTTAATTACTTACACCCCTCAGACTCAGAGAATGGCTCACACTGATGAGAGTATCTGCTTTTTCACTTCCGAATTTTCAGGTGCAAGTCTATGCTGCACTAAGTCACATGCCGGCTTCCTTCGGCCTTGCCCAGAACTGAAATGAGCCCTGCTGCAGACCCCGGACCGCGGACATGTGCTCATGCAGTCCTCTGTTCATCACTACGCCGGCTCTTTCGTGTCCGCTCCCCTTACTAAAACAGCAACTCGCTGAAGACGTGGGTGGTGTCTCATTCACCTTTTGTCTTCAGTACTTCCTAGTACAGGTCCTAGACTAGAGTCTGTGCTTGGAAAATATTAGATGGAGGGCTGTGTGAAAAAGTGGGGGAGACTGGAGCCCAAGAGAAGAATACCGAAAACCTGGTGAACTATTCCAGAAACTAGGTCACAATAATTAGGCCTCTGACACTTAGATCAAAAACAAAAAAAATAAATAAATGAAATGCTAACTTTCCAAACTCTTGATATGGGAACTTTGCAGTCATGATTTTTTGTTTCATCAACAGTCAATTCAAAAGAGATTTGTTCTGCCTAGATGGCGTGGCTCAGTGGGTGAGCATCGACCTATGAACCAGGTGGTCATGGTTCGATTCCCGGTCAGGGCACATGCCCGTGTTGAGGGCTCGATCCCCCGTAGGGGGCATGCAAGAGGCAGCCAATCAACGACTCATCATTGATGTTTCTATCTCCCTCTTCCTCTCTGAAATCAACAAAAATATTTTTTTTTTTTAAAAAGAGATTTATTCCTAAGTAATTATCAAACTTTACTGTATGCTAGGCACTCCTAGATGCTAGAGATATAATAGCATCTCCTCCTTTATGGAAATGACATTATAATGGTGGGGGGAAAGACAAAATAACAATTAAGGGAGGAAGGAAGTATAGGGGGCTACATTAGAGAATAACAAAATTCCATAGCTTAAATAAGTGACATTTAAGAGAGCACATGACTTGAAAAGCACACATATAAACTGCTTTCATGAGTTTAGACCTTTAAGGTAAGGAAACAAAGAAAACTTCACCTCTGCAATTTTCCTGTAAAAATGTTTAACCTTACTTTAGTCATGCAGAAATAAAGCAACAACTCCAAATTAAGGGACATCCTACAAAATAGTGACATCAAAATTCTTAATACTGTAAAAAACAAAATAAGCTAGAAACCTCTTCTGGATTAAAGATTAAAGATATAACTAAACACACTGTGTGTGAACAGTGGTTCAATTATTTAAAATTAAAAAGGAAGCTATAAAGGATATTGGGACAACTGCAGAAACGCATGCCACTTTTTATTTCAGGACCAAAAAATAAAAAATAAAAAAGTAAACAACTTTAAAAGTCTTTTAAGTGTTGGCTTCTTCACAAGAAATTACACATGCTTAGCTTAAATTTCAAAAAAGCAGCACCCTCCTTCCCAAATTATAATTTAAAAGATATGCTTCCCCTACATTGCTTGCGAGTCATTTGCTCAGGCTACTACTGGGTTTTAGGAAGAAAAAAAAAAATAAAATAAAAAAAAAAAATATATATATATATATATATATATATANTACATTGCTTGCGAGTCATTTGCTCAGGCTACTACTGGGTTTTAGGAAGAAAAAAAAAAATAAAATAAAATAAAAAAATATATATATATATATATATATATATAAAATAATAATATTGTATCAATGATAAATGTCCAAAGTATGGTAATTGCGTTATGGTTATATGTTGGAGAAAGTCCCTGTTCCTAGTGATACCGTTGTAATTAACCTAGTTATTAATAACAGGAAAGGAGCAGAGGGAAGACCAAATATTATAGGCATGTCATTTGGGCAGCTTCGCCAGGAAGCTACAACTTTACTCTCCAGGGGTCCAACAGAGGGGAGATAGATGCATGCCCAGTACAGTTGGGAGGACTAGAGAAGGTGCTTGCTGTCAGTCACACCTAGAAACACAGGTCTTTGGCCAGAATGGGCGTGGCCACCACAAGTGTGGGAAGATTTGAGATACTTAATTCCCTGAACAAAGAAACTCACTCTCTTGTTTCTCTTGGGTCCTCTTGGTGCTCTTGGTTCCTTCTGGCTGCCCTTGGGACTCTTGTTGCAGGAGGCATGCTCTCTTGGCTCCCCTGCATTCACCCACATGGCCCACGGCCACGTAGACCTCACACACAATGAACTAATGGATGGTAACTAGCCTGATGCTGAACGGGACCAGGCTGCAATATGGAATGGAAACTCTGGATACTGGCTTTGCTTTTAGCTTTACTGAATCCCTAGCTACACATCTTCCAGGACTGGATTAAGGGAAATGGGACTTTGGAAACACAGAGATGTAATTTCACACAAAGAAAAATCACTCATCCTCCCACACAAGTCTCAGAAAATTCTTTTTCTCAATATATCATAAGGACTCCACCCCCAGCACTCAGTGGGAAAAGGGACACCTCAACTTCCCCAATAACACTAGGAGATGCATACTCATGGGGTTCAGTGCCATGATGTTTCCAACTTACTTTCAAATGGTCTAGGAGGAAAATTATACACAGACACACACATGTAAACACACATACAGAGAGAGATAGCAAATGTAGGAAAACATTAACAATGATTAATCTAAGTTAAAGATATATGGGCTCACTGTTATTATTCTTGCAGAGTTTCTAAAGATTTGAAGTCCTTCTAATACAGAGTCAGAAAGAAAAAGGTATAAATCATGCTAAAATAAAGGGAAGCTCTTTACGTAATAATCTCATTCCCTCAAAAGGTCTTCCCTTGTATTAATAGGATCTCCTAAGCAAAGTACTGTACTATCGTTCTTTCCAAAATCAACACTTTTTTACCCTTGAGAGTAAAAATCAAACATTAGATCACCTTGTTCATACATCATTTAGGGACCCTAAAGCCAAGACTAAGCTTCATAATCCTTTCTGAATTAAACATTATAAACCACCAAGAAAAGAGGTAAAAATAGGTGTCAGCTTAACATATTCAGGCCATAAACCCAAAACATTATACCCAAAGATCTTTCAAATGATCAATGTCAATCTTTCTCTTTTTCTTTTCAGTTAGCCTGGTGCTAAATTTCAGAATTTTAACAGAGTAAACAATGCAGAAAATAAAATGGGTATCAGGACTCTGTCAATTGCTTGGTTCCAAAACCTTATGCCACCTCAAACACTGTTTTGCCAGCAGACTTCCAGGTAAGTATGATTTCTTAACGATGCTACTACAAAGTGCCATCAGCCAGCCTCATCCAGGGTATGGAAGAAAGGGCAGGGACAGACACTATTTTATCTTTCTGGATTCACAGCTGGTTTTTGGTTTTAGTGGTAGGACTGGTGTTAGACGTATTTTAAACTTTACACTAATTTCATTCTCTAACCTTTCTCCCGCTTGGAATCTGAGTAAATGACGAGCTGTGCTTCCTCTTCTTTGCTAGGCCACTAAGTAGGCTGACAACACAACTCATACCTGAGCAGTCTTCATACAGAGACAAAAAGTGCACAGAAATAAAATAATCCGCTCACAGTCATCAATAAAGAGCATGCCTGAGATAGCACACAGGATCAAAACTAAAGCTAGAGTCCTTTTGCACTAATCCATACAAAACCTAGGCAGTTCTCTCAGACAGCACAGTAAATACACTGAGTAGTGCTCCCTCTGCTGGCCTTCTAAGAGCATGGCATGAGCCCATCAAATGTGTGGGTAAACTTAGCCGAGCTGACTCCAGAAGCTTCTATAGACCACATACATACCTTATGGTAGGAAATTTTACCCCAGCAAGTAATGACATAAAATATAAAATTTTCCAGGGTGCCCAGATATACTCAACAAAAATATCTCACTACCAAGGAATGTTTAATAAGAATATATTTCCTTAATTTTTTTTTAAATTTTAATGTTCTTTCAAATAATTGTACTTTTGACCATGTAGCTTTTATAACTTTTTATGTCTTAGAAATATTATTTTAATTCAAAACTACATGGAATTTTGACGAAAACAGAAAGTTTAATTCACACTAACGGGCATTCCATTCTGCACATTAGTACATATATTGATCACTATGCTGAAAAGTTTTATACTTAAAGAATATAAAACTGTTACCTTAAAATATATAGTTTGCTGTGGTATTTCCTGGCTTCCCATGCTTATCATTAAATTAACCCAGCAATGTTGCTATATTCATAGTCTTCTGCCTATTAATAAATGTTTATATGATTTTAACTGATATGTCACTTAAAGTTATTTTAGTTTAGCCCTGGCTGGGTGGCTCAGTTGGTTGAAGTGCACCCCATGCACCAAAAGATTGCAGGTTCGATTCCTGGTCAGGGCATGTGCAGGAGGCAACTGATAGATGCTTCTCTCTCACATTGATCTCTCTCTCTCTCTAAAAATCATTTAAAAAACAACAGCTCATATCCTTGGGTGAAGATAAAAAAAAACCTTAGTTATTTTAGTTTATTAGACATGAAGATAAAATTCTGGCCTGACTACAGACCTCTTACCAGCCCTGTTCTTGGATGATCTGTATCGGTCTGTGAATTAATGATCTTGTTTATACAGCTATAGATGTGCTACATAGTTCTGAAATAAAACATAGATATGAGGGTAAAAGAATGAAAATTCAAGGTAAAAGGTTTTTCATTTGAACTGAAATAAGCACTAAGCTTCACTTTTCAAAAACTAATCCCAAAACATAAATCTGTATTTATTTTCTTATTCACTACCTCTCCTGAATTGGGCCAAGTTCAGGGAGATATAAGTAGCACATAATCAAAACAAGAAAGTCTCCTGAATGTAACAATGTCTCCTAAATAGGCCAAGGACAGTGAAAGGGACTCTTAAATTACCCCCAAGAACAAGAAGCATGTACCTCTGGAAGAAAGCATTCTCTGCAGCAGTTAGGAGGCCCTTCAGGTATCCACCCTTGAAATGGTTGATTCTGCTGCTGCAAGGAAGCACCTTTGGTTTGAAGCAGAACCAGGGTTCTCCAGTGTACAGATCTGTAAAGTTACACAGGGGCAGACTCCTAGGAAGACACATGTTGCACTCAGTAGTTTCAGATTTTCTTCCTGAACGAAAGAGACTCTTGAAATAGACCCTGTCTGGTTTCTCTTCCTGTAGGTAATGAAGAACTCTGATCCCTTCACTGGGGTGGACCAGAGATATGGACACTTTAACTCTGCCCGGCCAGAGCAAAGTAAAAAAGACCTTGTAAAACCCATTGTGGTAGTCTACCACTCTGCCTACAGCCCCAGCCTGCAGCTTCGGAGAGTGGATTCGGGCCTGCAGGTAGTCTCCACCATACTTCTTGGGCTTTCTTTGAAAATCCTGTACATGAACCAGCACCTCTAGCTGGCTTCCCACTTTGAAGAAGGCTGCAGAGTTCAAGATGACAAAGTAGCTGGAAGAAGGGTCACTGCTCTTCAAAAAGGGGACAGGACCCATGTCAGGCACCTGCAGCTGTAAGGCAGTCAGCAAGGAGTCTTCCTCCAAACGCTCCTGGCTGGACAGAGTCTGGTGCTCATAGCCACAGTAAAGATTCCGGCTAGGCCCTACCACATGAGGCGAAACAAACTGCCCACTGCTGTCGACGAATGTGGCTGAGACGGTCTCACGGTCCAAGTACTGAAAAGAAAAACAAAATCAGCAACCACAGCTACAACGAGTCTCCTTATATTCAACCAAGTAAATCTCTACTTCCGTTTAAATTTTAATTTAACTACTTGGGATGACACTGTTTCAACAACCAAAGCTCACTAGTTTTACAGGGCTATGGTATTGTAACAATGAAATCAAAATGAGGAAAGTCACAGTTTTGTGACATTTGCCTCTAGGAACTCAATCAGTTTCCCACAGTAAATATTGGAGAAAACCCGCCCTCTTCCCTGTGCTTCCAGTAGAAGGGAAAAGGTATCATTCTGAAATGTACCAGAGCATTCTGTTCTTAACAAGGACTGACCTCAAGAGAAACTATTTTACCAGAGGCTAACCTATTGGGGTTTTATCAGAACCTAACCCAACAGGGCTAAGGGACATACACAACTCCAGACCATTCTAACCATTCTGCCCAACTTAAGGGATGGGGGGAGGGTTAAGAAGCACTTTGGAAGCTTACAGCCCAGGAGCACAGGTTCACTAACCGACTGAGACATAATCACACCTCACCGCCACATCATTAAAATCCTATTTATCAGAGTGTCCCCAGCACATCATGTCCAGTTTTCAACAAAAAATTATGAGACATACTAAAAGGCAAGAAACACAGTTTGAATGTGTTTCAGATCAAGCATTAGAAACACGTTCAGATACAGAAGGGATGTTGGAATAATCAGATCAGGAATTTAAAGCAACTATGATTAATATGCTAAGGGCTCTAATGGAAAAAGCAGAGAGCATATGAAAACAGAGGAGCGATGTAAGAAGAGACAGAAATTCCGAGAAAGAGTGAAAAAGAAATGCTAGTCAGAGCAGAGGATTTTTAGGGCAGGGAAAAAACTCTGCATGACATTATAATGATGGACACCTGTCATTATCATTTGTCCAAACCCACAGAATGTACAACACAGAGAGAACACTAAGGTAAACAACAGACTTTGGGTGATTATGATGCATCAATGGAGGTTCATTCTTGGTAAAAAATAATAATGATAAGATTATAATAATGGGGGAGGTGATGCATATATGGGGACAGGGAGCATTTGGGAAATATCTTTAATCTTTCTGTAGAGAGTAAACCCTGCCAGTTGGTTTTTCTTTTTTGTAATGCAAGTGCCTGACTTCAACTTTGATTGCTCAGGCATTTCAAAGAGGCATCCACTTCAAAGACAGCTATCTAAACACGCACACACACTGCCAGCCACACAACTAGGTAAAGAGCCAGGCACCCCTCCCTCATCGCCAGGCTCCTTTGTTTTATGGATCTTTGATTTAAATAACTGACTACCTGGGCCACATCTCTTTTTCCTCTCATGCTTTAAATTCTCACCCTTATGTTTTAAATTCACCAATAAAAAGTGAACCCATGAAACTCCAGGCCCCCACCCTTGACACCAATAAAAGTAGAGCCCCCGGGTCCACAGTCCCTCTCTTCCTCTATCCACAACCTCACTGTATGGCCCCATGGTTACTGCTGTGTGTCCTGCAATCTTAAGAAATGTTGCAGGAGGTGGGAACGGCACTGGGTGTTAGTCCGGTGGGGTCACACTTGACCTAGGTTAGCAACCTCAGTTCTGGGGTTCTGGCTAGGAAAGAATTCAAAGCCAAGGTCCTTGAAGGGGTGATGTGCTAGGCAGTTAGACAGTCATGAGCAGAGCAAAGACGATGGATGGGCTAGGTACAGTGGAAAGAAGCCCTGGATGCCTAGAAAAGTACAATTGCAGAGTGGGACCTCGCCCCCAAGATAGCCTTTCCTCCCCTAGCATATCTCAAGACCAGCTGACACCCTGACCTTTCCTCCCTAGAGATAACATCTAGGCCTCAGTTGTACTTCAGCTCCAGGGCCAGAAAAGCAGCAAAACCAGCCACAGCTGCACTGAATGACGGCCCCGAGCCGACCCATCAATCAGTGGAGACCACAGCCCTGAAAGGACACACCTGGAAAACTGCTGAATATTATGAGATCTTCCCCTAGGACCACCCCTAAAATCTCCACCCTTCCAACCATTAGGATGGAGAACCCAAGATCTCCCTCCCAGGAGCACACCCGTGCCTTTCCCTTTCCCTCCCCTTCTCCTTCCTCCCCCCCTCCTCCTCCCCCTAGTCACGTTACCATTAGNCTCTCCTTCTTCACCCCCTCCTCCTCCCCCTAGTCAAGTTACCATTAGCTTCTTCACTCCCAAGCTCCAAGGGCCCATCCTTTACCTCTATAACTTGTTTCCTAAGCCCATTTCTTCTAGGAATTACTCCTACCTCTGTGATTTATCAAATAAATGTTCTCTTATAGTTTGGGTCTTGGCTCTGAATTCTTTCCTAGCCAGAACCCAAGTCTGGTCTGACCCCACCAGACTAACACCCAGTGCCATTCCCACTGCCTATAACAGAACCATAGGGCCGGGCCAGCTACAACACTGGTTATCAAAGACGGAGACTGGCACAAAACACTTCCTCTCAATTTCGTTGTAAACATAAAAATTCTTTAATAAATAAAGTCTTTAAAATAAAAATTTTAGAAATAAAAGAAATGCCAGAGATCAGAAACACTGTAAAAGAAATGAAGAATGCCTTTAAAGGCTCAGCTGAGGAAAGAATATCTGAGCTTGAGGCTATGTCCACAGAAACTTCCAAAACTAAAAAGCAAAGAGAAAACAAAATGAAAAAATGGAAATACAATATTCAAGAGCTGTGGGGCAAATCCCCCCCACATACATACATTGAAAACTGTTGCATGACCTTTTTAAAAAATATATGCTTAATACTGACTTTAGGGAGAGAGAGGAAGGGAGAGGGAGAAAGAGAAACATACTCTGCTTCCTGCATGCCCCATACTGGGGAATGAGTCCAAAACCCGGGTATNAGGAAGGGAGAGGGAGAAAGAGAAACATAGTCTGCTTCCTGCATGCCCCATACTGGGGAATGAGTCCAAAACCCGGGTATGTGCCCAGACCTGAATCAAACCAGTGACCTCCTGGAGCACAAGACGATGTCCAACAGAGCCACAATGGCCAAGGCTGTTCATCACCTTTTTAGTACCTACCCCAGGAAACTGCTGAGTTAACTTGCAAGGGTAAAAAAAAGTTAACAACAAAAATTACACTCCTCAACAGCTAATATTACCTGTTACAAATAAATAAGACCCAGGCTCTCCATCTATGCCAAACCACTTCAAAATACTATACAAGATAAAAATAATCCCATACAAGGTAAAATTACTCCCAAAATACAAGAGTATTTTTTATGATCTTCTTAGAATCTGTTTTCTCCCACAAAACTTTTACTTCTGAAATTCAGATTATAATAATTACTGAATACAATTTTTTTAATACAGGTCTGATAACAAGAAAAATATAATTCTTTTGGGGGCAATACATCAAAGTTAATGTTCCCTTTCTATTGCAAATGTTCATCTTTATAAACCATTCTTACCTCCTGGACTATACCAAAACAGGTGATGGGCCAGATTTTACAGTTACATGCAGATACTTTCAACTGAAAGGATTTTACTACGTCATGCAAATGGGAATGAAAAAAAAGCTGGAGTACCAATACTTACATCAGACAAAACAGACTTTAAAACAAACGCTATAATAAGAGACAAAGGACAGTTTATAATGATAAAGGGATCAATCCAATAAGAGGATATAAACATTTATGGACCCAACATAGTAGCACCTAAATATATAAATTAAAAATTGATGGACAGGAATACAGTCAGAGTAGGAAACTTTAATACCCCATTGTCATCAATGGGTAGGTCTTCCAGACAAAAAATCAACAAGGAAACAGAGGCCTTAAATAACACATTAGACCAGATGAACTTAATTAAAATTTTTAGAGCAATTCACCCCAAAGCAGCAGAATATATATTCTTTTCAAGCACACATGTAACATTTTCCAGGATAGATCACATGTTAGGCCACAAAACAAGTCTCAATAAATTTCAGAAGACTGAAATCATATCACGCATTTTCTCCAACCATAATAGTATAAAACTAGAAATCGATTACAAGAAGAAAACTGAAAAACACACAAAGACATGGAGGCTAAATAACATGTTACCAAACAAAGAATGGATTAACAATGAGATCAAGGAAGAAATCAAAAGATACCTTGAGACAAATGAAAATAAACACATGACAATCCAAAATCTATGGGACACAACTAGGCAGTCCTAAGAGAAAAATTCATAGCAATACAGGACTACCTCAAGAAACAAGAAACAGCCCGGCCGGGCGTGGCTCAGCAGTTGAGCATCAACCTAGGATCCAGGCGATCGGGGTTCGATTTCCGGTCAGGGCACATGCCCGGGTTGCGGGCTTGATCAATGACTCTCTCATCATTGATGTTTCTCTCTCTCTCTCTCCCTCTCCTTTCCTCTCTCTGAAATCAATAAAGATATATTAAAAAAAAAAATTGTGCTAAAAAAAAATAAATANGAAATAAGAAACAGCCCGGCCAGGTGTGGCTCAGTGGTTGAGCATTGACCTAGGATCCAGGCGATCAGGGTTCGATTCCCGGTCAGGGCATATGCCGGGGTNAATGACTCTCTCATCATTGATGTTTCTCTCTCTCTCTCTCCCTCTCCTTTCCTCTCTCTGAAATCAATAAAGATATATTAAAAAAAAAAATTGTGCTAAAAAAAAATAAATAAATAAGAAACATTTCAAATAAATAATCTAACCTTACNGGGGTTTCAGGCTCGATCCCCAGTCAGGAGCATGCAGGATGCAACCGAACAATGACTCTCTCATCACTGATGTTTCTATCTCTCTCCCTCTCCCTCTCCTTTCCTCTCTCTGAAATCAATAAAGATATATTAAAAAAAAAAATTGTGCTAAAAAAAAATAAATAAATAAGAAACATTTCAAATAAATAATCTAACCTTACACCTAAAGNTGCTAAAAAAAATAAATAAATAAGAAACATTTCAAATAAATAATCTAACCTTACACCTAAAGAAACTAGAAAAA